CCTTGGTTCACCAAGGAACTCCGGGAGATGAAACGCCAGAAGAGACGCCTAGAGCGACGTTGGAGGGCCAGTAACTCCAAATCTGACCGAACACAGTTAAGAACCTTTATTAGGTCTTAGTGGTGATACGGGCGGCAAAATGTGCTCCTTTTTCCGCTCTTATTGCGTCCGCAGAATCTCGCCCGGCCGCCCTGTTTAGGATAACTCGCTCCCTCCTGAAGGGGAAGGATGCAGAGAAACCCTTACAGGGAAGAGCTGAGGAATTTGTTCAGTTTCTGTCGGATAAAGTAGCTCAGATTCAGACGGACCTGGACTCCACTTGGGCAGTACCTGCCGAGATGCCGAGGGTGGGCCTTGATCGGATTTCTTGGAGCGAGTTCCAGCCTGTTACTCCTGAGGAAGTGGACAAGGCCATGGGAACTGTGAGTGCCTCCACCTGTTTACTGGACCCGTGTCCCTCCTGGATGGTTTCGACCAGCCAGGAGGTTACACGAGGCTGGCTCCAGAGGATTGTTAATACCTCTCTTCAGGAGGGATCTTTCCCACTGCCCCTAAAGGATGCGGTGGTAAGACCCCTCCTTAAGAAGCCTTCTCTGGATCCAGCTATTCTTAAAAACCACCGTCCAGTCTCCAACCTTCCTTTTGTAGGGAAGGTTGTTGAGAAGGTGGTGGCCTTTCAGCTCCGACGGATCTTGGATGAAGCTGATTATCGATCCCTTTTAGTCGGGTTTCAGGCCTGGTTACTCCACCGAAACTGCTTTGGTCGCGCTGACCGATGATCTCTGGCGGTCCAGGGATAGAGGACATTCTCGGGGGAGGTCTTTCTCTGTAGCTGCCCCGGCCCTGTGGAATGATCTTCCCGCAGAGATCTGGACCCTTCCCACTCTCTCGGCCTTCCGTAAATCCACTAAAACCTGGCTGTTCCGGCAGGACTGGGGCTGTTGACCCCACAATACGGTCCAGCCCCACTTAGAATAGAGTGTATGGTGTGTTTTTAAATCTATCTTTTCTTCTCTTCTTTTTGATTTATTTTTATTGTTA